TCGAACCTGTGCTAAGGCGTCATTGTCTCTTTGGGACGCTTATAAGACCGGCTGCTTTTGCTCAAATCCAGTATTTCGCATTTTTTTAAAAATTTTACCGCATTAAACTTTTGAAAGCTATAAATTTTTGTCATCTTTTAAGAAGTAAAATATTTCCGCAAAAATTCTTTTTTTTTACTTTTTAATCATTATGCAAATTCTTTCTCATCTTCTAATTTCCATAATCTCCGCATAGTTAACTGCTTTTAATTCGACATCGCTCAAACATATATTTGCATAATATTCTATAGCATTTCAAGTCCTGTTCAAACCCGTTGCCCCTCAATTAAATTTGTTTATTTGCTTTGTCACTCGCAGTGTCCTGATACGCGCTATCAACAGTTGTCCGCGCACCTCGACCTGTGCTGAGTCATAGGAACGGATATGTAGTTCATCGCTTAGTCATCTTCTTTTTCCTGCTACCTATTCATAGATGTTGTGAATCAGAATTGGTACCTCCGTAATAGCGTATTTCACCATGTTTTCATAGTTGATTAAGTAGCCGATTGCTATTTAAGGTCATCGGTAGTCACTAACGACTAAATACACACACAACACTGACAATGTCAGAAGAGAAGAAGGTTGTACAAGAGACCACTGTGGTCGTACAAGAAACCGTAGTCGCGGAAGAGCCAGCTCCAGCTCTTCCTACCAGTGAACCTCCAAAAGAAGATGTTGGTAAACCTGCTGAAGCTGAGGTAAATTTGTACATATGTATTTGATATTGTGAAAAGGCTCTTTTCATAGTTTTTCTCTTAAATGTAGTCTTTACACGGAATGTTATTTTTATTTCTCCTTTCTAGGTCACTGAAGCTGCAAAAGCCGAAGAAAAGCCGGCTGAAGAGGTAGCGAAAGAGGAGAAACCGGCTTCGCGCATCTTTAAACGACCTACTTTGAAATGGGGAAAGAAGCGCGACGAGCATGCTGCTCCTAAAGAGCCAGAACAGGCTAGGGATATTCGCGAAGATGCCCTCGGCTGGATTGCACAGCAGATCCCTCCAGCTGTTCACAAGGTAGATAACTCTCAATATATCTACTTGTGTAGACCAAAATGTCAAACTTTTAGGTAAATTATCACGTTTTGGACTGGGCCCAGAAACTAGCATATGAGGAATCGGAACGACCTGCTCTGCCTGGAAAGGACTGCTCGATGACCCGTAATCAGTTCCTGGCTCACCTACGTGACGGAAAACTACTTGCCGCTCTGGCTAATAAATTGCAGGTTTGCCTTTTCTTGTTGTCGTTCATTTTCTGTTTCACTTTCTCTTGTTTAAGATTAGTCATCTATAATATTGTAATGTTGTCTTTTGCTATACTGTCTCCTTCTAATTATAGCGCAAAGTCTTTCAACTAACAGCGTTTACAGTCACATTATTTGAGGTTTTATGTGACACCTGCGAGATAAACAAATTGCGTTATCATGTGGGGTAATTTAAGAAACACATGTTGGTAACGTTTT